TTTTCTGTGAGTGCAAAAGGTTTTGACTGTTGTTTTTGTGTTTGTCGTATTTTCCTGGCGACCTTCCTCCCTCCTCTATCCTCCCTCCTCTCTCCTTCTCCTTTGAATGCAAGCGCAATGGGATTGCAATCCGAAATCAGTCGGATCTCCTCACCGCCCTCCCCCCTTCATTCTCTACCGGTAGGATTACAATCGACAGCAATGCGAACACAATGATATTCCATCAGGGGTTATCAATGTTTGTAGAACAAAACATGTGCTGGTTGTGATCGCACAACCGAAGGGTCCTACGTGGGGGTGCGCTTGCTTCCTGGTTGGCTGCCGGTCGCTTGGTGGAGGGGTGTATATCAATAGGGGAAAGTGATAAGCCCTTCTTCGAAGGAGAAGAACAGGTTGTGGAGGAGGGAATTCGGGTTCAGCTTCTCTGGCAAGTTTTGCCCCTCCCCCCCCCGTGCTCCGTATTTCCATGGCCGTGCTCCGACTGCACTGGGCCGCCAAGCTCCGCCCCGCGCGCGCCCGCCTCGCGCGTCTGCTCAGGCATGCGCGTGCCGCCATCCTGGGGTCTCGCTGGCACGGCGGCACCCCGTCCCCACGGGCGACCCCAGTTGACGCTAGCTATACCCAGGCCTCTGGCGATCTCGAGAAGTCCGAAGAGCCAACGCTAAAATCCTTCCCATACTGGAGTGCAATCAAGGACCTTATCATATTCGGGCCCTCCTGGAGGTCTGCTTTATGGCCTCTTGGGGGCCTTTTGCGCCGTCTTGGGGCCATCGTAGTCGTCTTGGGGGCCATCTTGGACCGTCGTGGAAACCATACACAACCATTTTGTCAGACTTGGAGGCCGTCTTGGCCGTCTTGGAGGCAACTTGCGGCTATTTTGAGAGGGGGCTGGGCAAGCGCCGGGGAGGGGGGGGGTAAGGCTCCATGGGGTGCCCCACCATTAATTTTGATGTAGGGATTTTGTTTTGGTTGGGACGGCCAAGTGCGCAGGTGCATGGTCAAACAAAGTGAACGAATGTTGGGCTCGATGCGTCAAGGGGATCTCTTTAGTGCTCTGCAAGAAACGAAAACAATGAAAACAGCAGGGGCCCGACGCAAACACACACCACACACCACACGCCACACACCATACACCACACACTTCACACACACACACCGCACAGACAGACAGACAGGCAGACAGGCACGCAGGCAGACAGACGGACGGACGGACGGACGGACAGACAAGCAGACCGACCAGCAGACAGACAAAGACGCAGACATACATACATATACATAGCACCACACACAACACACAGCACAGCACAGCACAGCACAGCACAGCACAGCACAAAACAGCACATCACAGCACAGCACAACACAGCACAGTACAACACAGCACGTCACAACACAACACAGTACAACACAATACAACACAATATACGCAAACACAGGCACACACGTGGACACACACACAAACACAAACACAAACACAATCTCAAGCACATAGACACAAACACAGGCACAGACACAGACACAATACCGACACAGACACAGGCACAGGCACAGACACAGGCACATGTACAGGCACACGCGCAGACACAGACACAGACACAGACGTAGACACAGACACAGAAACAGGCACAGACACAGACACAGACACAGGCACAGAAAAATATACAAACGCAGACACAGACACAGACACAGAACACAGGCACAGGCACAGGCACAGACGAAGACACTGACACAGACAGAAACAGGTACAGGCGCAGGCACAGGCACAGACACACACACACAGACACAGATACATACACAGTCACAGACACAAGTACAGGCAGTCACAGACACCGACACAGACACAGACACAGGCACAGGCACAGGCACATAAGCACAGACACAAACACAGGCACAGCCACAGGCACAGACACTGACACAGACGCAGACACTGACACTGACACAGACTCAGACACAGGCATACACACAGGCACGGACACAGGCACAGGCACAGGCACAGACACAGGCACAGGCACAGACACAGACACAGGCACAGTCACAGGCACATATACAGACGCATACACAGGCACGGACACAAACACAGACACAGACACAGGCACAGGCACAGGCACAGAAGCACACACAGACGCAGACACGCAAGCACAGGCACAGACACATACACAGACACAGGCACAGACACAGACACAGACACAGACGCAGATACAGGCACAGACACAGACACAGACACAGACACAGACACAGGCACATGCACAGGCACACACGCAGACACAGACACAGGCACATACACAGACAGAGGCACTGACACTGACACAGACACAGCAACAGAAGCAGGCACATGTACAGGCACACACGCAGACACAGACACAGGCACATACACAGACAGAGGCACTGACACTGACACAGGCACAGGGACAGACACATATATAGACGCAGGTACTGACACTGACACAGGCACAGACACAGACACAGTCGCAGGCACAGGCACATGGACAGGCACAGGCGCAGTCACAGGCTCACATACAGACACAGACACAGACAAAGGCACAGGCACAGGCACAGACACAGACATAGAACCAAACGCAGATGCAGACACTGACACAGACACAGGCACAGGCACAGTCACAGACACAGACACAGGCACAGGCACAGACACAGACAGACACGGACACATATACATACACAGACACATATACAGACGCAGACACAGACACAGACACTTGCACAGGCACAGGCACAGAAGCAGAAACAGACACAGACACGGGCACAGACACATGCACAGGCACGGGCATTGGCACAGGCACAGGCACAGACGCAGACACAGACACCGACACACACAGGCACAGGCACAGGCGCTGACACAGAACACAGACACAGGCACAGGCACAGACACAGGCGCATAATCAAACACAGACGCGACGCATGCACAGGCACAGGCACAGACACAGGCGCAGGCACAGGCACAGACACAGACGCAGACACGCAATCACAGGCACAGACACAGACACCGACACAGACACAGACACAGGAACAGACGCAGACACAGGCACAGACACAGACACAGGCACAGACACAGACACATGTACAGACACAGGCACAGGCACAGACACAGACACAGACATAGGCACAGACACAGACACATATACAGACGCAGACGCTGACACTGCCACAGGCACAGACACAGACACAGGCACAGGCACAGTCACAGGCACAGACGCAGACACTGACACAGAACACAGGCACAGGCACAGGAACAGGCACAGGCACAGAAGCAGACACAGGCACAGGCAGAGACACAGACACACAGGCACAGACACAAGCGCAGACACAGACACAGGCATAGACACAGTCGCAGGCACAGACACAGACACAGACACAGACACAGAACACAGGCACAGGCACAGGAACAGGCACAGGCACAGGCACAGAAGCAGACACAGGCACAGGCAGAGACACAGACACACAGGCACAGACACAGGCGCAGACACAGACACAGACATAGACACAGTCGCAGGCACAGGCACATATACACACAGACACATATACATACACAGTCACAGACACAAGTACAGGCAGTCACAGACACCGACACAGACACAGACACAGGCACAGGCACAGAAGCACAGAAGCACAGACACAAACACAGGCACAGCCACAGGCACAGACACAGACACAGACGCAGACGCTGACACTGACACAGACTCAGACAAAGGCATACACACAGGCACGGACACAGACACAGACACAGACACAGACACAGACACAGGCACAGACACAGACACAGACATAGACACAGTCGCAGGCACAGACACAGACACAGAGACAGAAACAGACGCAGACACAGACACAGACACAGAACACAGGCACAGGCACAGGAACAGGCACAGGCACAGGCACAGAAGCAGACACAGGCACAGGCAGAGACACAGACACACAGGCACAGACACAGGCGCAGACGCAGACACAGACATAGACACAGTCGCAGGCACAGGCACAGACACAGACACAGAAACAGACGCAGACACAGACACAGACACAGACACGGGCACAGACACAGACACAGACATAGACACAGTCGCAGGCACAGACACAGACACAGACATAGAAACAGACGCAGACACAGACACAGACACAGGCACAGGCACAGACACAGACACATATACAGACAGAGGCACAGGCACAGGCACAGAAGCTCAAGCAGACACAGACACAGACACAGGCACAGACATCGGTACAGACACATATACAGACGCAGATACAGTCACCGACACAGACTCATTCACTCAGTCAGTCGCTCTACATAGATACATACATGCATACATACACAGCACGCATGCATGCATACATACATACATACGTAGACACCAACCAATGCAAGCGCGGTGGCGCGGCCTCTACTTTCCAGATAACCAAACAACTCCTCCCCCGAGGGGCTGATATGGCGAAGTACCTGCTCCGTTTGGTTCAAGGCGCTGCGCTCCGACGCCACGAGATGACGTCGGAGGTCTTCCCCAGCGGCGCGCACAGTCGGGTTGCTCGAGGGGAGAGAGGGCAGCCTTCTGACAAGGCTTCTCAGAAGCCCCTTTGCCGCACTCCTGGAGGGTGTTTTTGCTACCCTCTGTGCCTTAGCGCGCAATCTGCCCCCGCTCCCCCCCAGAATGTGCCGCTCCCACCCCCCAGTGCGCCCCAAACACTGCCGCAGTCCGACCGGCACCACGCGTTGCGTTATGCCCTTTCCCGCCCCCCACCCCACTCCATAACGCCCGTTGTCGCCGCGAATGGGCAATTCTTTCTTGCCTGCTCAGGAGCCTTCTCAGAAGCCTCCGACCCCTCTTGACACCCACGCCGCTGCCTTTTAAGAGTAGAGTAGGCGCACACCTTACGAGACCTTGTTATGAGAGGTTCAGGGGCGTACTCGTCTTCCCGATTCGACCTTCTCGACGTGCCCCAGGAGGGCTTACTTGGAGCGCCAGCTGGCAGGCTGATGTCGTATCTTATATTCCTGCTGCAGGGCCTCCCCCCTCGCCACGCCCACCTTCGGCGCGCCGCAACGTGGCGCTGGGACCACCCCCGACAAGACAGCCCAGGGGCCAGGAGTGCCGAAAAGCCCCCCGCTGTGGTCTGTCCACCGACGGCTGGAGGCCTGGGGCGGGCCACAGCACCACCCCCGCGCGGCCTCGGCGATGGGGGCCCCCGGCCGACGTCGCGCGGGCGCGCGCGGGCTCCTGCTGCTTGCCCCCGCCGCGGCGCTGGCGGCGGTGTGGGCGGCCGCCGCCTTCGTGAAACCCGCCGCTGGACCGTCGGCCGCACGGCGGGGCCGCCCGTTCGAGGCGGGGGCCGCTCTCGCTGCTCCTCCCGCCCTCCTCTCGGGGGCGGCAAAGAGGGGGGTGATGACGAGGGGGTGTGGGCATCGTGGCGAGGGCCATGAGATCCCCCCAGATTTCATGGCGCCTCTTCTTGCTTCAATGCGTCCCCGGCCCCCCCCCCTGGGCCGCGCACGTGCCGCTGGCCAGGATTTGCGCCCCCCCCCCCCCCCCCCCCCCCCTGGACGCCCCCCTCTTGGACGCCCGCCGTCACTTATTTCTGCGGGGCTCGTGGCTGCTGGTCGAAAGTTCGCCCACATCGCCTGCGGGAGCCATGCACGGTGGCCGCACTATGTCCCCATGCCATTCCGAAGTTCGAGCTGGAGGTTTTCCTTTTCTGGAGGTTGTGTGAAGGTCCCCCCCCTGATAAGAAACTCACTTGCTGGGCTGATGCTGGATTTTTCCCGACCTGGCGGCCAGGCCCTGCAGTCGTTGCTTCTGGATCCTGGGCGTTAGCAGCGCGCTGGAAAAATCCTCTGACAGGAGGGCGAGTTGAGACAGTGGTCGTTGGCCGTTCGTGGCCTTCGTCGCCGTGGCGGGACGCAGCTGTGAAAACTGGTGCGTTTGGGTTCCGTGAGGGGTCCCGGGGGCCGATTTTGAGTTGCCGTAAAGTTGTTTGATGTGAGCGCTAGGCTGTCTCAGTCCCCAGAGATGTGCGGGCTCCCTCTCTCTTGCCGTTGACTCTTGCTCCTGTTTTTTATTTTTCGTTCTCTCTCTCTCTCTCTGTCTCTTTCTACATCTCTCCCTCTCTCTCTCTCTCCCACTCTCCCTCTGGGGGCTCAAGCTGGGGGTCGGCCTCAGTCTGCCCGAGGCCGTCTACGTTCTGGAGGCCCACTCCGGAGGCCCACTGCTAGCAGTCATGGAGCTCCCGGAAGCCGGATGCCGGCGCTCCGGGTCGCCTGGCTGCTGGGCGGGGGGCACGCAGCCCCCGCCAGCCGCCGCTGCTGGGCGGATGGGGAACGACGGTCGCTGCGTGGCACCGGCTGCCGCCCGCCGCGCAGTGTTGCCGGCCACCCGTCTTCTTGCCGGGCTGGCGAGCGCGCCGCGCGGCGAGCTGCCTGCGATCGGGCTCGTGCTCGGCGGGCTCCCGCGGAGCTGCGCCTGGCGCCTGCCCAGCCCAGCCCCGCCAACGTTGGAGCGCAGTGCGGGTACTACTCGTTCGCTTGCGACGACTCGGAGGTCCCCGCGGCCTTCGAAAGCGAGGGGCCTGGCGAGCTCGCGTCGCCGCCAACGGGGGAACCCCCGGTTGGCGAGCCGCACGAGCCGTCAGCCCCCCGAGAGGCGAGCAAATCAATCCCGCCCCGACTGTGCGTCCCCGGACATCTCCTGGATCGGTGGCTAGTGAAACTGGATTTTGAGTTGGGAGTCCCTGGGAAACCGAACCTGGTCTTGTAGAGCCAAGGGGGTAGGAAAGTGGGCCTTTGAGGCCGTCGAGACCCTCAGAGTCGCCGTCTCTACCCAGAGGGAAGCAGGATGGCCCAGCAAGGACGGCGGCTGGCTGCTTCCACCACAACCCGAGGGTCTACAAAGTAGGCAACCCGGGGGAAATCGACCATCTGGCGGCTGGCGTCGCCTCCTGGTGGTCATGGCGCTCGGAGCCAGAGCTGGCGCTGGTGCCAGGGCTGGCGCTGCCAGAGGTATGCAGCGACGTCCGCCCAGCGCCATTAGGATGGGTCTACATCGGCGACGACGATAATGATGGTGATGACGAGGTGATGGTGGTGATGATGATGATGATGGTGATGCGGGTGAATCAGATCATTGTGATGCTGACTATGCTGCGGGTGAAGATGGTGATGGTGATGATGATGGTGGTGATGATGATGATGATGATGAAGATGATGATGATGTTGATGATTGTGCCGGTGACCCGTGGGTCGATCAACGACGACAACCGTGCCGGCGACGACGACGTTAAGCCACAGCGACGACGACCGTTTCAGCCGAACAAGAGCGACAGTACGTTTGCTTCGCGAGCCTGTCCTCCGAAAGACCTTGCTCACGTCGCGTAGTTAGCTAAGTGGGCATCCATATGATCACGGCGATGTGCGGGATATTTCGTAAGGTTGGGATAACCAATGCCGTTGTCTCACCCCCTGTGCACATTGAGTTGAGATGCTTGACGGTTCGTGTATCCCCACCTGCCCATTCAGACATGATCGGAGGCTTTTTTACGGCCTTTGGCGGGCTATCTTGAACCATGCTCGCCTAGAGGTTGTCGGAGGCTATCTTGAACCATATTCAGCTGACTTGGACCATCTTGAGTCTGCCTTGAGGCTTGTGGAGATCTGTCGGAGGCTATGCTCGACCTCTTGGGCTTCTATTTGGGGTGTGTTGGGGATGATGATGCTGATGATGATGGTGATGATGACGATGATGCTGATGATGAGGATGGTGATGATGATGCTGTTGAAGATGAGGATGATGGTGATGATGATGGTAATGATGCCCTGGATGATGATGCTGCTGCTCATGATGATGATGCTGATGATGCTGATGCTGATGATGATGATGACGCTGATGCTGATGATGATGACGCTGATGCTGCTGCTGATGATGCTGATGATGATGATGATGCTGATGCTGCTGCTGATGATGATGATGATGCTGATGCTACTGATGATGGTGATGATGATGATGCTGATGCTGATGCTGATGATGATGATGATGATGTTGCTGATGATGATGCTGTTGTTGATGCTGATGCTGCTGCTGATGATGATGCTGCTGATGATGACGATGCTGACGATGATGATGATGATGATGATGATGATGATGATGATGATGATGATGATGCTGATGATGATGATGATGCTGATGATGATGATGATGATGATGATTATGCCGATGCTGGTCATGACGATGATGATGCTGCTGATGATGATGATGATGCTGACCATGATGATGCTGGTGATGCTGATGATGAGGATGTTGCTGATGATGCTGATGATGCTGATGACGTTGATGATGATTATGCTGACGATGATCATGATGATGCTGATGATGATGAGGCTGCTGCTGCTGCTGATGATGATGCTGATGCTGATGCTCATGCTGATGTGGATGATGATGATGCTGATGATGCTGATGATGACGATGATGATGATGATTCTGATGATGATGCTGATGATGCTGATGATGATGACGATGATGATGATCATGATGCTGATGATGCCGATGCTGATGATGATGATGATGATGATGATGGTGATGATGATGATGCTGAGGATGATGATGATGATGATGATGATGAGGATGAGGATGAGGATGAGGATGATGATGAGGATGATGATGATGATGATGATGATGATGATGATGATGTTCGTGATGATGATGATGATGATGATGATGATGATGATGATTGATATGATGATGATGTGATGATGATCTTGCTGATGCTGATGCTGATGCTGCTGCTGGCTGATGAGGGGATGGAGGAGGAGGAGGAGGAGGAGGAGGAGGAGGAGGCGGAGGCGGAAGCGGAGGCGGAGGGAGGAGGGAGGAGGTGGAGGAGGAGGAGGGGGAGGAGGAGGAGGAGGAGGAGGAGGGGGAGGAGGGGGGGGAGGGGGGGGAGGGAGGGGGATGGGGGAGAGGGAGGGGAGGAGGGGAGGAGGGGGAGGAGGGGGAGGAGGGGGAGGAGGGGGAGAGGAGGAGGAGGGAGGAGGAGAGGAGGAGGAGGCAGGAGGGAGGAGGGAGGAGGGAGGAGGAGGAGGGAGGAGGGAGGACGGAGGTGGAAGGTGGGAGGAGGGAGGCGGGAAGAGGGAGGAGGGAGGAGGGAGGTTTTGTTTTTTTGGATTGCGCGGCTGATGAAGCACAGTGCCTGTCAGCAATAAAGAGCAGCGCGACGCTGGCAGATTATTAGCAGGAGCTAAAAAGTTCTGCACGGGCGCTAAGTTAAACAGCCACCGCCAGTTCAGGGCAGTTAAAGCAATAGAGAGCAGCAGGGCCGTCCTGCTGGTGCTGGTTGCTGACAACTCCCTGGGGACTGGTCAAGTAAGGGTGAGCAGTGACAGAAGGCGGCGAGCTCTCAACCCCATGGCATCGCCTAGCCTTCACAGTGCAAGAGAGGGGGGGGTACAAACTTCAAAGCAAGGAGACGAGGGTAGTCGTGCAAAGTATCTGCAAGCTCGCCCGTGGGATACCACGACAGGCACGAGTGTCGAAATCGTGTCGGAGTTTGCAGTAACCAGAGCACAACCAACTTACAGTATGAACTGCGAGTCAGAGCAACTAGTAACCAGGAACGCAGAGGGTGGGACCCACACCCGTGAGATAACTGGCTGGGGCATCTGACAACAATGATCATACACAGGAGTCTCATTCCTGGGCCAAGAGCTGAGCCGGCTGCACTCGAACTGGGACGCAGGGAGGATGCCAAGCGGAGAGCTGGGATCCCCTCCGAGAGCGGCCCTTGCGATGGCATCTGCATGCGCGTGCGGCACAACAAGGGACTGGCCGACCGTATCCAAAGACTGGCAAGTACTGCTCTGTTATCGGAGACTGATCGAGACCGAGAAAGAGAGAAGAGGACAGATCAGCAAGCCAGGGCAAGGCTAGCAGACGAAAGAGCTCCTGACATCTAACCCGCCTCCTCCCCTGTACTGCAACCCTGCAAATGGTGCATGCGGGCGGGCGGCGGCGACAATCAGGTGCATGAGCACCTGGCGAGGGGCGGCGCCCCCGGGAGAACACTCGGGGGTCCGGTGCCACACGCAACGGGTGTGTGGTTAGCGACGGACTACGCTCACCGGGCCCCCTGACCGCTGCCCCCCTCGGGCACAGGTGTGAAATATACAACAGTAGCTGCAAGCGGGGGCACCTCTGAAGAAGGCGACCGAGTCGAGAGAGAGAGGGCGGGCGGCGCATGCAGGCAGGCCGCGGGCGAGAGAGAGCAAGAGAGGCAGGCTGCCGCTCTCTCTGCATCCCCTACCCCTCCTCCTCCCCGTCTCTCGCTCGCACGCGCGGGC